ACACACACACACACACACACACACACACACAAACAATAAGCTATTAATTGATTACATAATGGCAGCAGTGTTGGTACATTTCACTGACAGTAGCAGTAGGTTACAGGAACCTGACTGTTCTCCATCCGGCTCACCTGTTAGGATCCGCATGATTGGCCAGAATGTTGTAACAACCAGTGATCAGCTTCTCATAAACACGCGCCAAGAACTCATCAGACTCAGCAGGGCCCAAGATGCGTTCCAGGGAGTTGCTACTGATCTCAGCAACACTCTCAGTGCTTGATTCCAAAAGAAGAGGTAGCAGAGTCCGAATTACCTGTGGTGGGTTCATCTCATCCGACCAACTTCAGCAAAGAATATGAAATTAAGTTAGTGACTACATTTCTCTAAAAAGCTGCAAAGCAAAGATAGGGTAATTTAACTATTTGCCAGAAGGGAAGGGGATTGCACAAGGGCATTTATTCGTCTTTTTTCCCATGATAGGTATTTTACACACAGGTATAATCATACAATTTCATATTCCTCTTTTTCATTATTATATCAGAAACAAATATTTTTATTGGAAAAATCCATTTATTAAAACATCAAATTACTGAGCTGCGTTTTATAATATTCAACAAAGAAAATTAACAAGTATTCCACCCCAGACAAGCCTTCCAGAACTCCCAGGAACCTGGATCACTTTTAGGGCAATATGATATCTGACTTTACTTGTTACCTATGTACAAGAAAACAAAATAGTCCCCCCATTGGCCTGGTCTAGTCCCTACAATGGTGGAATTTATCCCACTATGATTCTGGAGAAAGATTATCAAATAATTTGTCACTATCATTTTAAAAGTTAAACCCAAGACATCTCCAAATTGCAATATGGCTTAAAACCAGCATGCCTTTTCTGAAAAATACACAGAGAAGAGGAGGTACTCTATTGTCTTTCAGCTCTAAGTTAAAAAATCATTCTAGCTAAGTGCTCATAGTTTAAAGCAACAGGTTCTTTTTGCTAAAGAAGTATACAAGAAAGCATTACTATATAGTTATAAAAACTCTCACTGTCCCCCTTTAACGCAATAAAATACAGACATAGGGTCCCTGGGGCTCTGTAGCAGGTACTCACACAATGAGATCTCCAGTCAACCTGACCAGGGAGAGGAGGGTGTGCTTCAGGGAAGCAGCCAGCGGCAGACTTTGGCTACAGAGAGTCCCCAAGTGTGCAGCCTGCACTGCACTGATATAACTCTCTGAAGGGATGGTGTCATTGGCAAAGGCATTGCGCTGAAAGGAAGCAAAGCAGATGTAAATGGATAGGCCATCTACCCTGGAAAAAATTCTCACATGAAAAAAAAAACTGATAAAAACTAAGACCCCACTGAGGTTTGTAAACAATGGCCTCTACTCAGTATACACTGTTATTCATCCTGGGAAGGACAGTGGGGTGGGGAAAAGGAAATAGTTAAATTTTAATTAGTACAAAGTTAACAGTTAAATGCAACAAATATTCAATACCACTTTCAAATGATTAGAACATAATATAATGCACTATATTTAAAGTAAAACTATTGTTTGTCGATAATGACTGAGAAGGAACTGGATTTTGCAACGCATCTGGTCTCTACTAAAGCTCTGGGTGGTGTAAAGAAAGGTCACGATCATAAGGCAGGGATAACAAGGCTATAATATTTAGCTTTCCAAAAGAACTTCAGTAAGCGAATAATCGGTTAATAGAGGCCAGCTGAGCAGAAGACATACAAAGAGGAAGCAAACTGACAGAAGACTTGGTAGTATCTAAAAGCCTAGAGAAGCTAAAAGTGACCCCGTAAAACTGTTAAAAAAAAAAAAAAACGAGCAGGTTCCTGACATATAACCTACAAAGGAAACAGTTAACATGTATTGAGAATTCATTTGCTAGATAATATGCTAGACACTTAACATTTAATACATTGAATCGTCACAGCCCAATATTCAACTGGTGAAGAAACTGAGGCTCAAATAAATAAAATGGTTTGTCTTCTGATAACACAAACTTCTAAGCAAAAAGGACATATGAGAAACAATTAGGTGATTAAACGCATTGATTATTGATTCAGTCATAGCCAATACTACTGCAGTATATGAAGATCTTTTGATAGCTAGGTTAAGTCTAATTCCTTTAGAATCAGGAACAAAAGACAGGATGGTTAGCACTCAGGATTTCTACCCCTGGAACAGACAGGAACTCACCCAGGATCCAATATTGGGAAATTCATTGGTATTGATGTTGTTCCAGGACTCACACACAGCCTGCACTGACGATGGTAAATTCTGAACCAGTGTCGGACCTGGAGGTGACAAAAAGGACAAGAAATCATCACAACAAAGAGGGAATGACACAGAACATGTTAAAAGCCAAACCCAAATGCAAAAAGAAACAGTACAGCCCAGGCTGTCAAAATAATTAGTAAGACAGCTTAAATGGATATTTTAATAGCAGTACTATGTCCAAGAACCAGTTAATTGCTTAATAGCTAACACTCTCAATTGTAAGGTTTTCATTTCCTATGATATTCACTTTCTAATAGTACAAGTAAAGAAGACAACTGAAAATATGATGCGAAGTGAGGGTGACTCATTGCAAGTCAGACTGAAATCACCATTAAACATCTGCTCTCCTTTCTATAAATAGGTATCACTTTTCTCTTGATACCTTTTCTCTTTAAGACAAATCTTAAGGACAGGGATCATAACACACATTAAGAGCAGCATTCAATGAAGCAGTACAATGTTCAATGAATATTTAAAGCTTGAAATTAAGGAAAATACAAATGGCTGTAAATTTTAAACGATAAGAACTATACTTAACTCCAGTCTAGCCCTTAGATTTTCCACCCTAGATTTCTCCCAAATCATTCCTAACCCAGCAAAGAGAATTTTCCAGGCACAAAGTGCTAGCTTGCTAATCTTCCTATCCTCTTAATGAAAAGAACACCAGCCTGGGCAACATAACAAGACCTCATCTCTACAAAAAAATTTAAAAATTATCTGGTGAGGTGGTGTATGCCTGCAGTCCCAGCTGCTTGGGAGGCTGCAGCAGGGGGACTGCTTGAACACAGGAGGTCAAGGCTACAGTGAGCTGTGACAGTGCCACTGCATTCCAGTCTGGCCGAGGAGGGGACGGGGATGGGGAAGGGGAGGGGGAGGGGAGATCTGTGCTAAAGGTAAAATAGTCTTATGCTTTGGAACCAACAGATCCTGGTTTGAATCACAGCTCCATCACTTGCAAGATGCAGGATTTTGGACAAATAACTTCTCTAGGCCTAAGTTTCTAAACAGTAAAGGTTGTTGTGAAGATCAAAACAGATAAACCTATGTAAATGCTTGATACACAAAAAGGCTCCAATAAATGGTAAATGCCAATAGGCAGCAAGGGAGAGAAGTAGTAGTATCAGCAATAGCAGCTGTTGTAATAATATTATCCAAAAGCACATTCATTCACTTACCCAGAGTATTTGCCTTGCACCTACTAGAGCCAATAGCCAAAACGGCAGCAAAGCCTTGCAGTTTCTCCTTGGAAGGTTTCTCAGTTGTTCCCTCTTCATTAAAGTTCTGCAGCAAATAGGCTCTGGGGGAAAAATAGGGGGAAAGTAAAGCCATAGGAATCTAATCCCACCAATTAGGAAAAACTAACCCTAGCCGGGCTGAAAATCCTCTATCTCAGTTTCCTAATCTATTTAATATAGTTGATAGTGCCTGCTCCTTCCTGGTCTCATAAGAATTCCAATGGGTAATTGTTTCCCAAAGAATGTCCCCTCCTCTGAAATGTTCCCAAAACATGACTTCCTGACAAGTCTGAGAAACAGTGAATACTATATCCATCCCCCTTCCCCCACCTCAGAAGATTGACAATGTAAAGGCTCTGAATACTATATATTTTTAAAGAAAACAAAACAAACCAAACTGTTTATCCAACATTTTGCAAACTTACGGGCCAGGAATGTTAATAGTTCAGTGTGGAAAGCACCGGCCTAATAGGCCAGATTAGAGCCTATTAATCTCCAGAGGGCAATGACTTAGTGGTCGGCTTTGGCTACTGCTATAACCCTAGCACCGAGAAAAGTACCTGGCACATAGCAGCCACATACATTTGTTCATAAAATTTGCCTCAAACAGGCCCCTTTAAAGGAGCCTAAAGCCCCATAGAGCCGGGCACACGGTGGCTCAAGACTGTAATCCCAGCACTCTGGGAGTCTGGGGCAGGTGGATCACCTGAGGTCAGGAGTTTTGAGACCAGCATGGTCAACATGGAGAAACCCCGTGTCTACTGAAAATACAAAAATTAGCCGAGTGTGGTGGTGCGCGCCTGTCCCAGGTACTTGGGAGGCTGAGGAGAATCACTTGAACCCTGGTGACAGAGGTTGCAGTAAGTCAAGTTCGCGACACTGCACTCCAGCCTAGGTGACAAAGCAAGACTCCGTTTCCAAAAAAAAAAAAAGCCCCACAGAACAGGAGTGAACACTGAGATCCTACAGGAACAAGATAAAGTAAATAAGCTTAAGAGAGCCCGGTGAGAACTGCTGCAAGGGGAACTCATTCTCGGCTCCATTCTGTTACTGTCGTTTGGAAAGTCAGACCCAGTTTTGCCAGTTCTTCCAATTTAAGAAAAGCCAGAGATCTAGAAATTGTGAATAATCTCCCAATTTTATATAGTGAAATTAATTTTAACATATTTAAACACCAAACAGACAAAGTCTACAGGGCATGCAATTTGCAGTCTTTGTTATAGAAAGAGCTGAATTTCAAATAACTTCTAAATCATTTGGAAATTTTTTTCTCCAACTACATATCTTGACATTTAAAGAGCATTTAAGGGCTGGGTGTGGTGGCTCATGCCTGTGATCCCAGCTCTTTGGTAGGCTGAGGTGGGTGAATCACCTAAGGTGAGCAGTTTGATACCAGCCTGGCCAACATGGTGAAGCCCCACCTCTACCAAAAATACAAAAATTAGCCATGGCGTGATGGCATATGCCTGTAATCCCAGCTACTCAGGAGGCTGAGGCAGGAGAATCACCTGAACCCAGGAGGTGGAGGTTGCATTGAGCCGAGATCACACTACTGCACTCTAGCCTGGGCAATAAGAGCGAGACTCTATCTCAAAAAAAAAAGTTATTTTAATAATAATAAAGAGCATTTAACTCAGTTAATAACAGAAATGACAGTGTTTAGGAAAATTATATCACCTTTCTTTGTATCCCATAACTCAAATGGTACAAAATATTTAAAGAATTATAGACATTAAACTTCCTCCTGACTCTTCCTGCGCTATTTGAAAATTCCCTCATCAAGCACCCCTTCATGCTAGAGAAGAAAGCATTATACTATGGAGAAAAACCCCTAAGCTGACAAAACGGAAAAACATAAAATTCTGAGTCACTGGTGGATCTGCAGAGTGAAGAGTCATGTGCATCTCTGGGCAGGCAGGTCACCACACCTGGTAAATGATGCGTAGGTGTCAATGAGTTGTAGCGTGGCTGGAAGTAGGTTCTTGGTAATCTCAGACGACTTATGAGGATCGGTCTCAGCAGCCATCTTAGAAAAATGCTCATCCAAAGAGACCTGGACCTTTGAGATGGCAGCATCAAGGGTGTAGATGGACTGCAGACTTGGAATTTCATGCAGCTGCAAGATGGTGGTACAGTCGATACTACAGAAGGATGAGATCTTTAAAAATATGCAAAATATAATTAGTTGTGGCAAAAGGCTACGATAGAAGCCAAGTTCTATCATTATGGTTACAATACTACAAACCTGTCGAGCGAAGTATTCCTCCACTATTTCAACATCATATTTCACTGAGCTACATTTGGCAGTGGATGCCAGCTCTAGGAGTGAGCTAGCATGCTCAGCCTTCATTCCCTGTTTGATAAGGTGATCCTATTTGGACAGCAAGAAAAAGTGTTTAGGAGATCAATATAGGCAGAATCTAAGCTTTCAGTATCTTCAAATTTAAAAGCTCCAGTAAACACAAAACACTTTGGCTTTGAAGACTCTGAGCAGCAAGCTCTATGTTCCGCGGTGGTACCTTTATCCAGTTGACATAGGAGGTGATCCGGAGCCGAGAAGACCATCGCAGAGTGTGCAAGATGTCACATTCACTCATCTCAGGTGAGTTCATCGATAGCTGGTTAATGTAAGTCTTTGACGGTGGCAAAATTCCTAGGATCCTCCACAATATCAAAAAGTAATACTGAAGGGCACAGGCCTCCTGGAGAAAGAAAAAGGAGCATACAGGTAGTAGTTGGTATTGCCTCAATATCTCTTTCACAGTAAGAACTGCTCCAAATACAACTTTTAAAGCAGAACTATGTAGAGTCCTGATTTTCAACAGAGATTTGGCCCCCAAGCCCATTCTCCAGATCTTTCCTAGAGAGTGGCAGAACACACATACATATAATTTGCTCCACATTTTGTACGTTCCTCAGACCAAAAAGGCTATTCAGAGACAACTTCAGCTCCCCAATAATTTACCAATTAACCAAAAGAGGGCAGGATACTCTGTTTAGCAGGACTGGAATCAGATGTCCTTTTCTGTGGCCTGAAATTGCTTCTAGAAGTATAGAGACGCAGTAACAGAGCCACAGAAACATCTCAAGTGTGAGGCTTTCAATTTCACACGTCAACCAGTATTCACAGGACCTCAAGCACTTGGGGGGGACCACTAACTCTTAAATTACAGTTCTCTCAATGGTAACGAAAAAAATGCAAAACTGACAAAATTATCTTTAAGGTGAACATAGCTATCCAAACAACCTAGAAATACTGACGTATCGGTCAGTTTTGCAAATCAATATTCAATAAACTGATTACATCTCAGAAGGAAATTTCTGATAGAAATGATCAATCATCACACACAACCCGAAGACTTCTCAAGGTTCCATGGTCTTACCAAGGCTGTTACATTCTTGTTTTCCTTTCTCCTCACTGTATCAAGCTGGGACCCAGCTGCAAGCAGGGTTGTCAGTGCAGCATAAAGCTCATCATACTTGACAAGCTTGGAGAAAAGGACATCACATGCCTGACATCAAGAAAGAAAGACGATCATTTCTTCATTTCTAAAATATTTTTTCCCATTGCACCTATGTACAATCGCTTATCCTCATGATCGACATTCATTAATTTCTCCTTGGAGCAGATTCCCATTCTGGGACCTTACACTGTTTGCAAGCTACTGTGGGCACACAACTGCAGGCTTTAGAATAAGAAAGTAAGGCAATTATTTTTTGTCCATTAAAATACTTGCATGTGAAAATGCTAACAAAGATTATCTTCAAAAATCAGGTGTCAGAGGTGCCAACCCAGAAAGGAAAACCCCCACAGCAAAAGTGCACCCAACAAATAAATCCAAGTAACATTTCCTATTAGAATGAGCTCATGTCATAATATAGATCACATTTCCTGACTATAAAAAGTAAGTCATTCCCTTTCCCCCTAGTAGGCTGATTCTGGTGGAAACCATTTAATCAACATGTAAAATGCAGTTTTTAAATTCCTGGTACCACAGAATCAAGTCGATTCAAATCATCCTCTGAGGCTTCTGGGGACAGGACACAGTAGAATCTGGGTTGTGGGACAGCATCTGAAAAGTAACAATTAAAAGAATGTTTCATTCTTAACCCTAACTAGTATACAATGTAAAAACTCAGAAAATACTTTAGAACAAGGTTTCCCAGCCTTAACAATATTGAAATCTGGAGCCAGATAACTGTTTGTTGTGGGAGGCTATCCTGAGCACTACAGGAGATTTAACAGCAGCCCTGGCCTCTACCCACTCAATGCCAGTAGCACCCCCAGCTGTGACAACCAAAAATATTTTAGACGTTGCCAAAAGTCCTGGGGGGAGGGGGCAAAATCACCCATTGAGAACCATTGCTCTTAAGAGTTAAATAAGATGCTCTATAATCAAATGTCTGAACACATTAAACTTACATGCTATTTCCCTAACATCAAACAGTAAGAGATAACAGTAACCTCATACTAAGGCTACACGAAAGTTTCTACAAAATACACTTAACAACTAATACTCCTTAGCATAAGTGGAAACACATACTAAAAATGAACACAAGAAATAACTCATCCAAAGAACAGACACTTGCTGTATGAGAAAAACACTAGACATAATCTCATGTTCACATTCGTTTCAGACCAGCATGCCACCAAGAACCAAAAGGAAATTTAGTTGTACATTAGAACCACAACTCTAACAGAAAATAAGAAAAATTAATCACACAGAGTGCCAAGAATCCATATATTGTACCCTATAGCCAGACACCAGGATTCCGAATTTTTGTGTCTCGATTTATTTTTTATTTTTTTGAAACAGGGGTCTTATTTTGTCAGCCAGGATGGCGTACAGTGGCGTGATCACAGCTCACTGCAGCCTCAACCTCCCAAGCTCAAGCAATCCTCTCAAGTACCTGGGACCACAGGCATGTGCCACCATGCCCGGCTACTTATTAAATGATTTTTTGGTAGACAGGATCTATGTTGCCCAGGCTGGTCTCAAATGCCTGGGTTCAAGCGATCCTCCCACTTTGGCCTCCCAAAGGGCTGGGATTATAGGCATGAGCCACCATGCTCGGCCTCAATTTTGTTTTCCCCTTGAGTCAGAGTCTCATTCTGACACCCAGGCTGGAGTGCAGTGGTGAAATCTCGGCTCACTGCAACTTCCACTTCCCTGGTTCAAGTGATTCTCCTGCCTCAGCCACTCAAGTAGCTGGATTACAGGCATGCACCACAACCTGGCTAAAAGTTTTTTATTTTTTTTTAACTAGAGATAGGGTTTCACCATGTTGGCCAGGCTGGTCTCGGACTCCTGACCTCAAATGATCCGCCCACCTTTGCCTCCCAAGGTGCTGGGATTATAGGCATGACCCCCAGTGCCTGGCCTCAATTTTTTAAAAAAAGTATAAATGTAGGCTATGTGGGAGTCCATTTCTGAAATGTTTTAATCTATAGGTGATTTGCCACCCACAGGGATTACACTAAAGCAAATGACCAAAGATCCTCCAAGAGTCTCTAAGCTTCAAATTCAATCCCGCCAATGAGAATCAGTAAGTCAGTTTCTTACTGACAGTCTTCTTTCTGACCTGATGAGAAATGTTTAGACCAGTTTTCCTCTACTTCTTTGAACCCATGATAGAGAGGAGTGGTCACCCGGCGGCTGTTGCTGTCCTGGGATCCACTTGCCCACCCAAAAGGAGGACTTAGCAGGTTATGCTGTACCTTTTAAAACACAAATACTGAAATTAAAAGATACATAGTCACCATTCAGGTTTTCACTTAGGCATGATAATAGCTCAGTACATTGAATCTTGGTAATCTGAAGGTGGGTGTTCTACATTCAAATCTGCTGTCTCATTGGGCACCATTCAGTTTTTCACTCAGGCATAATAGCTTGGTATACCAAAGCCTGGGAAACTCACAAACCAAATAAAAATTTAAATATTTTTCTGTGACTACTTTTGGAATGCATTTTTTGATGGAACATAAAGAGAATGGTACTCATTGAAACATTTTAAGAAATGCTGCACACAATCTGAACAAATCCCCTTATCCTCGTTTTGGATCTTAATAACAAAAGAATTTAACAATCCATAACATTTACTACTTGACTGTCATTCAACCACTAATACTCATTGAGGGCTGATGCTCACGGCACTGCATCAGACACAGGTACAACAGGGTAATTTGTGGAAGAATGCCTGTGAACACAGCCTACATCCCAGTTTTAACAGATGCATCAAATCAAGTAATCTACATTAATCACTTCAGGCTAAACACAAAGTACAAGTCTCAGTGGTTCTCCTAATCCTACCCATCAACCTACCAACACCTAAAACCTAAAGTGAGCAGGTCATCTGGGCTGTGGATCATGGTAACCACTGAGAAGAACAAAACTCTGTATAATGGCAAAGCAAAAAAGAATGTGTTGGTCTGTACCTGCTCAAACAGATACACAGGGGCTTTGGAGTACTGATGAAGCAGATAATCAAAGATGAGAAGGAGGCGAGCCAAGATGAGTGGCACGGAGCGCATCTGAACATCCATGTTAACACTCAACTCCTGGATGATCTGGACAAAAAGCGTCAATATGGCCCGCCGGCCTGTCTCAGTGAAGTTGTGGAAAATGAGGAGGAGCAGCTGCAGGTGTTCCACATTCAAATCTTCTGTCTCATTGGGTACCACACCTTGCAGGGCATTCTGCTTCATTGTAGACAAAAACCTACCACAGAGAAAAGATGACTATGTCTGGTGAGAAAAAGTCAAAGCATCCCCCAAGTTATAATGTCAAGCACTAGAAGAGTTAAATTTCCTAAAACCAGGCATTAAGGTACCAAATTAAGGAAGAAAGAAAGGATAAATGGAAAAGAAAAGACAGAAGCTAAATTTTGGCTAAAAAAAAGTCAGACATGGCCAGCCAGGCACAGTGGCTCAGTCTATAATCCCAACACTTTGGGAGGTCGAGGGGAGGACTGCTTGAGGCAAGCCAGGAGTTCAAGACCAGACTAGGAAACAAAGCAAAACCTTGTCTGCACAAAAACTTAAAAAAGTAGCTGGGCATGCTGGTGTACATCTGTAGTCCTAGCTCCCGGAGGCCAAGGTGGGAGAATTGCTTGACCCCGGGAGGTCAAGGCTACAGAGAGCCATGACTGTGCCACAACACTTCACCCTGAACAACAGAGCAAGGCCCTGTCTCAAAAAGACAAAAATATCAAATTCAGCCACAAAAATATTTTCCTTTTCTTCAGGAGACAAAGGCTCACTCTGTCACCCAGGCTGGCATGCAGTGGCATGATCTGGACTCATTGCAACCTCTGCCTCCCAGTTTCAAGCAATTATCCTGCCTCAGCCTCCAGAGTAGCTAGGATTACAGGTATGCACCACCACACCTAGCTAATTTTTGTATTTTAAGCAGAGACGGGGTTTCACCATGTTGGCCAGGCTAGTCTGGAACCCTGATCTCAAGTGATCCACCTGCCTCAGTATCCCAAAATGCTGGGATTACAGGCATGAGCCACTACGCCCAGCCACAAAAACATTTTCAAGAGCTCTTCAGCTCTCTCAACTGTGGCCACAGAAGTGTAATGCCCACCCTGCCATTTGTGACAATGAAAAGTACTACAAGCTCCCACAAAGATGTTGCTATTATTCCTTTCTGATTAATAAACCTGGACAGGTAGAACCAATTCAATTACTTTTCCCCTACTTTGATTCCATCATTTAATTTTAGTTTTGAGAGTGCACATTACAGGTTAAAAATCACTGCATGATAATAGTCAAAAATAGCAGACTATAAAGTAATAAAAAAGAAATTATACTATTCAGAGAACTTGTCAGAAGACCTTTTATGCAAAAAAGGAATGAATGTAGCCAACTGTTTCCACTGCCTTTGGCTATTAGGAAAGAGATTTGTGTTTTAATAAGTGTTTCCCTCATTGCACTCCCCTATCCTCTCAGCCTTTTTGTAAGATTCCACCAGGAAAAATACAGTGGGTCTTTGGCATTCAAGGAGGTTTATTATTTCTCAAATCCAGCATTAGGGCTATTTGATCCTAGAATGGGGAACAGAAAGCAAAGCCTTTTAGGAAAACAAACTGCTTTGAAGACTTCTAACCATGTAAACAAAAATGGCAAATATAGGTCCATCTAAAGAGGATTTAGATGATTAATCTGAGCTTCCCCCAAGGAAAAAAATTCTTTAAAATTTGTCCAAAAAGGACTGCAAGTTCCTCTAAGTGGTTTCATGCTGAAAGCAAAATAACCAAGGACAGAGTTGGCTTCCCTGCTTGTCTTTCAAAAAAACAGGTCAGGATAAAATTGGTTCTGTTCAAGATTGTGGTTCCATCTAATGATTATAACCAAATCCCCCATGTGCTGCAGGAAGACTTTATTTCCAGACCAAAGTTGACATACTTGTTTTTTTAACAGCCCATTCCAACTCCATCCCTCTTCTACCCTCCCCACTCTAAACATTACAGCAACGCCTCAAAGCCACAGATTAACTACAAAGAAGTCAAACAAATAAAAAAGGAAATAACCTTCTCCCTTCTCTATAGGCCTTCTCTTGGAGGCATCTTACCTGTCCCAAACTTTAAGGCATTCAGGGACGTCAGGGTCACCTTGAGCACTGGCTTTATGTTGCCAGATGAGCAGGAGGCGTGAAAGCACAGAGAGGCTTTGAGGGTGAATGTACAAGGGCCAAGGGCCCTCAGAAAAAGGAGCCACTCCCAGCTGCTGCAACAGTGTGTTCTGACAAGAAAGATATGGAAGAGACCATCAGGAAACAGACGTGTGATAAAGTCAAAAGGTTACTCACGTTCTCAAAAGTTTGTTTGTTTTAATATTGGACACAGTATTTTAAAGAAAGGACCTAGAAATTCAGATTTTGGAATAGTCTGGATAAAGATCATTTAGGTCAACAAATGAGAAAAACATGAATGAAAACTTACTGATCTATCCTAATTAACATCTACACTTAACGAGTGTCAGTTATGGGCTACTGAAAAAGGAAAAAGGCACTGAGATGAGCAGAATCAGGATAATTTTGTAAATGGACAAAATATGAAAAGTTGTTGCCTTTGAAAGCAAACTTCTTGAACAACTATAACAGCTAATAGTTTTACTTTCATAATCAGTTACATAATACAAATAACACCCAAAAGGGGAAGATCCAACAACTTATAGATCTGACAACTTGCACTGGCAGTATGAGCAGAGCCTGTGAGATCTCTAGGCACCTAGAACTCATCAAGGCTGTTCTTTACCTCCACGTGCAGCATGTCTTTCGCATGAGAATTAATTTTCAGCTCAGTTAATTAAGCTGCAAATTATCTTCTTAAACACACACACACAAACTGAGCAAGACGCCAACGTAAAACCAGACAGATGCCTGCTTTCTCATTTGGCTTCAGAAGACACAAAGCATCGTTACTATAGGATGTAGTATACATTTCTAAGTCTGCCAAATTAAATTATATTCTTATACTACATGCTCAAGGACCCTTCCTCGGAAATGAATGTTACGCAAAATGTCGCTGGCCTCAAGAGCAGTTTCCGTGCACTGGGCAGTTACCATATGTTGAGCTAAGCACAGAGCATATACTGTTGTCACACTGGATGTGCCAGGCAGGAAGTATCATGTGCTCCTTGGATGTGACACGAAGTACTATGTGCTCCTTGTCACTGATGAGGGAAGACAAAGAACATGACCAAAGTTTTAAGGTCTCTAAGTGGTAAACTCAGGTTTATCTCTAAAATCATGTTCTTTTTTTGTGTGTGTGAGATAGAATCTCACTCAGTCACCCAGGCTGAAATGCAACTGTGCAATCTCAGCTCACTGCAACCTCCACCTCCCAGGTGCAAGCGATTCTTGTGTCTCAGCCTACTACGTAGCTGGGATTACAGGCATGTGCCACCATGCCTGGCTAATTTTTTTATTTTTACTAGAGACAGGGTTTTACCTCATTGGCCAGGTTTGCATTAAACTTCTGGCCTCAAGTGATCCGCTGCCTTAGCCTCCCAAAGTGCCACAGTGCCCGGCCTCTATACCCATGTTCTTAACTACTGTGCTCAACACAGACATAAACAATTTCTCAATCCCTAAGTTCAGTGAAACAATTTAAAAAAATAAATCTTCCTGAGGTACAAGAAAAATACTAATAATACTAATAATAATTGTAGCACAATTCTAATAATGGAAAAATCTAAATGTTCAAATCAAGGGGCATATCTAGCCATAAATAGGGATAAGTAACATATATTTATGCTGCTTTTTAACGCTTTTTTTAAAGCTTTTGTTTTTCATCTTTGTGTCAGTTTTTCAGGCCCCAGAGCCACAAAAATGAGCGAACATTCCACAGGAACCTGGTCTTTCCCTCCCACTCCCATCCTTCCTTCTCAGCTTTAAGTAAGGTAACTGACTCTTTAAAAAGTCAAACTGCACCACAGTCCATCTAGCAGCAGAACTCTGGCTAAGCCCTTCCTTCCTCCACTCCTCCTTCTTCTTTTTGAGATGGAGTTTCACTCTTTTTGCCTAGGCTGGAGTGCAATGGTGCAATCTCGGCTCACCACAACCTCTGCCTCCCGGGTTCAAGCAATTCTCCTGCCTCAGCCTCCCAAGTAGGTAGGTTTACAGGCATGTGCCACCATGCCCAGCTAATCTTGTATTTTTAGTACGGACAAGGTTTCACCATGTTGGTCAGGCTGGTCATGAACTCCTGACCTAAGGTGATCTGCCCACCTTGGCCTTCCAAAGTGCTGTGGTTATAGGAGTGAGCCACCACACTTGACCTTTTTTTGTTTGTTTTTTTTTGAGACGGAGTCTCGCTCTGTTGCCCAGGCTGAAGCGCAGTGGCACAATCTCAGCTCAATGAAACCTCTACCTCCTAGGTTCAAGCAATTCTCCTGCCTCAGCCTCCCAAGTAGTTGGAACTACAAGTGCATACCACCATGCCCAGCTAATTTTTGTATTTTTAGTAGACACAGGGTTTCACCATGTTGGCCAGGATGCTCTGTATCTCTTGACCTCGTGATTCACCCGCCTCGGCCTCCCCAAAGTGCTGGGATTACAGGCATGAGCCACCATGCCCAGCCCTCCACTCCTCTTTCATACTGGCATTTCTGAGGGTTCAGCCTCAGCCTTCAGCTCTCTTGCTAGTCTCACTGTTTCTCATTACTTCAAAAACTGTCCCAATTTAATTCCTGAATTTCAGACTCACATTCCCAACTATATTCTAGACACTGGCACCCAAAACTTCATCATCATTAAACTGAAACCTTAGGCCAAGCAATGTCTCACACCTACAGTCCCAGCTATACCCGAGACTGAGGTGGGAAGAAGATCACTTGGGTCAGGAGTTAGAGCAGTGTGGGCAACATAGTGAAACGCCATCTCTTAAAAAAAAAAAAAAAAAAAAAAAACTAGCAACTTGCTAGTCACCAAAGCACAAGTACAACCCTGTATGGTTCCACTTATGAGGGACTTAGGTAGTCAAATTCATAGAGACAGAATGTAGAATGGTGGATGCCTGGGGCAGGGAGGAGGGGAAAATGGGGACTTGGTGTTGAGTGTGTGAAGTGTTTCACTTGGGAAAGATGAAAACGTTTTGGACGTGGATAGTAGTAAGGGCTGCAGAATAATGTATATGTACTTAATGCCACAGAACTGTTCATGCAAAAGTGGTTGAAATGGTAAATTTTATGTTACCATATTTTACCATACAAGACAAATAAAACAAAAATAGTGCTTGGTACCTAGTACTAGTAACTAGTAAATCTTAACTGTCTTTATGATTGTATTATTATTTAATATTATTGCAGTCTCTTGGTTCATTTGTTCAATAAATACTTATTGAGAACCTACTATGTGCCAGGTACTATTATGGACACTGAAGAAATAAACATAACTTGAATTAGTGTGAGATCATGAAAAAGGAGGGAGATACGGTGTAGGACATTTTGCAGAGATCATGGGCCATTATTTGAATGGGGTGAAGAGCATGGAAAGGAAGGAGTCTTGGATATTGCCTGGGTTTAAAACTCATACGAGACTAGAAGGATGCTATTGTCATTAATAGAGGCAGGAAAGTCAGGAAGGAGGGTTGGTTTGGGGGTAAGGGAGGTTGGATTTTTGTTTTATTCATTTATTTATTTTTAGAGGTGAGGATCTTACCGTATCTCCCAAGCTGGTCTTGAACTCTGGGTTGAAGCCTTACTCTTGCCCTCAGCCTTTTGGGACTATGTGTGTATGCCACCATGCCCAGCTAGTGTATTTAGTATTTATGCCTAAATACTAAAAGGCATTTAGTATTATGCCTTTAAGGTTCATCCATATCATAGCATGAGTCAGACTTTCTTTCCTTCTGAAGGCTGTGTAACAGTCATTGTATGGATGGATTACATTTGTTCACTTACACCTAATGGGTATTAGTGAAGTAGTATCTCACTGTGGCTCTGAGTCACAAACATAGTGAAATATCATAGAGTAGTCCAAACAACAACTACAGAAATAAATAACAATATAGATGAATCTTGGCAGTATAGTACTATATCATAATATATGAAAAAAAGAGCCTGAAAAGACTACATAGAGCTTGATGTCATTTACTATAAAACTACAAGCAGGCCGGGCATGGTGGCTCACGCCTGTAATCCCAGCACTTTGGGAGGCCGAGGCAGGCAGATCACAAGGTCGGGAGATCGAGACCATCCTGGCCAACATGGTGAAACACCGTCTCTACTAAAAATACAAAAAAATTAGCTGGGCGTGGTAGTGCACACCTGTAGTCCTAGCTACTCAGGAGGCTGACGCAGGAGAATTGCTCGAACCTGGGAGGCGGAGGTTGCAGTGAGCCGAGGTCGTGCCACTGTACTCCAGCCTCGCGCCTGGTGACGGAGTGAGACTCTGTCTCAAAAAAAAAAAAAAAAACTACAAGCAATTTGTAAAAGGTTTTTTAAATGTAAGGGATATGGATTATATATGTAGATACACATATATATAAATACATGACTAAGGACATCAGGAACTTGAGATTTAGGAGTCAAGACAACAGCTACTTCAGTGGGGAGAGAACCGTTAAGACTGGAAGTTTACAATCAACGTCCTAGATTTTGTTCTGGTGGTGGGTTTGCAAGTACAAATGTATATGAGAGCATCTATCTCCTATAATTTGACGGATTCTTTTAAAACCAAAGTTTAACTTGTGTTTCTTCAATTACTAAGGATGCTAAACATTTTTCCTCTGTTTATTGACCACTTATAATTCTTTTTATATAAATTGCCTGCTTGTGTATTTGTCTACTTTTCTGCTAACATAATCATCAGGAGTTTCTGTTTGTTTTTGTGGGTTTTCCTTTTCTTTAAGCTTACTAACTTAGGATAAAGGACACATTTTTTTTTTTTTTTTTTTTCCTCGAAATGATCCCAAATATAAGACACAGGGACATACTAGAATCACCTCTCAATGCTCTTTCCAGGGAGGGGATTTAATGGCAAACTGTTCCTTAACAATTGGAGCTACAGGCCAGGGGCAGTGGTTCACGCTTGCAATCCCAGCACTTTGGGAGGCCAAGGCAGGTGGATCATTTGAGATCAGGAGTTCAAGACCAGCCTGGCCAACATTGTGAAACCCCATCTCTGCATAAAATACAAAAATTAGCCAGGTATGGTGGCACGCGCCTGTAATCCCAGCTACTTGGGAGGCTGAGGCAGAAGAATTGAACCTAGGAGATGGAGGTTGCAGCAAGCCGAGATCACGTCACTGCACTCCAGCTTGGGAGACAGAGCAAGACTCCATCTCAAAAAACAAACAAAAAAACAACTGGAGCTATAGCCTATGGAAGCTGGTGTAATGAGCTCTTGTCTAGATGGTCACAGCACACACCAACCTGCAGGTTAGGTGACTGAAGGTCAGAGGTTACCAGAGAGTGGTTGAAGTGATAGAGAGCTGCGGCAAACTCTTCATCTGATGAACCTTGAAAACAAGTAGAAAAGCCAATTATTTAAGTGGTTATTGAATGCATCACACCTCCCTGCCAAGAGCCAAACTCCATGAGAAGAAAAATCCACCAGGCACATATCTTGTCTACTGACCCTTGAGTCCATCTTTGTCTACTTCCTTGATGATACTGGCTAGGGTGGCCATATGGTGTTCCGAAAGAGATACACTCAGATAGTTTCGGATAAAATTGTTCCGAGAGTTCAACATGGAAGAGGTGATGAAGTTCAAAATGTTGGAAGCCAGACCTAAGAACTGAAAGGAACACACAAAAACAACTCTCATCAGGGTCATAAGCCCAGCGTTTACAAACTCTGATTACAAAGAGAAAATAAAATATCCTGATAGTTCTCATGCAATAAACACAATGAATTAAAGAATCAGATTTTAAATCACTTACAATGGGCCTAAGTTTAATTATGAGAGTCTTTCCCATATAACTCTACCAGTTACACAAAATGGTATTCCAGTTTAATATAACAGAGGTTATAAAATAGTGCATTTTGTAACAGGATTTCCAACTAGACTGACCCAATTCTTTTGTTCTCCTAAAGTCCTCTGTCCAGCTCCAATTCATTACTGATATATTCAATCCTGAAGCCTATATTAATGATTACACATATATAGAATTCCTGACTCTTCACTTCCCTACTAAAATTAAATTGAATTATTGTATAAATGTTTTACATCTACATCCTTGACTAGCTATAAGCTATATGAAGGCAAGAATTGTATCTAACTCACTCACATCATCAGAATGGGGACTGACACTTACTAGATAATCAATACTGGCTGAACCAACAGTTCAACCACAGCAGGCACTTATGATGTATCAGACCTATGCTAAGCACTTTACAAATAGTCTCTCTTTAAGATGTCACAACACTTGTAGATACAGGTACAATGACTCATATGATAGGAGACAAAACCAAGGCTGGAAAAAATTCAGATTCTTGCCCAAGGTCACAAAGCCATTAAGCGATAGAAGTAAGTTTCAAGCCTACTTCTGATCAATTCTAAAGGCTAGTAGAGAAACAGTAACAGTCATACACGTTATTTAATGAAACTTAATCACAACATGTAAGTCCTAAGCAAAAATATCTTTAAACATTACAGTTATTCAACCTAAAAATAGTTCAAATGATCTACTTCTCATACCCCTAGACCCCCCATGTTCACTTCCCCTAAACCTTAAAAACCTACTCTTACCAACTCAGGATCTTTACGACTCGCCAAAATGTTGCCCTTCTCACCAGAGGTCTGCTTACTAGGGCTTTTAACCCGAGGAGAGCTTTCCAGTGGAGGAGGTGGGGGAGGGGGTGGAGGTGCTGCTTTCTCTTTACTGGGAGAAATAGTCTCCTCAAACCATTGCCCCAAAATAGGTTCACTGTCATCATCTGAATAGAAAAAGAGAAAGTAACAAAAATAAATTTTAAAAAAATGTTTTTAGTGCATCTGCTTCCTAAAAGTGCTTAAGTCAAAAGGAACACAAGAATCTCCTGATTGTGATGGTGGTTACAAGGTTGCATATATTTATCAAAACTCATCTAAATGCATACATAAAATAAGAGCGCCTTACTGCATGTTAATTATACCCCAATAAAACTGATTTATTTTTTCTTTAAGGAGCCCAACAAAGAAAGAGAAACAACTTCATATTATTTTGCTGGTAAAACATTTTCAAGAGCAAATTTATACTTGCCTTATCAACCATAAATCACAGGATGTAAGAATCACACCTCCCTCTGTATTTCACATTGCTCCCACAAACCTGACTATGAAAGAATCTGAGGTACTTACCTTATTCACGCTCTCATCAAACTAAGGCAGGAGGGCATGCCAGTGTGTTCACTACCACAGGATTAGGTTTCTCTACTCAAGCTTCCCTAAACTACGCCTATGACAACATCCAAACCCAACACCTCACTTGTGACCTTTTGAGTTTCACTGAGAAAGCTTAGAGCAGAGGTCACCAGATAAGCCAACACAAGAAGAAATATGCAACAATTGAGATGTTTTCTGATTTTGGAGGAAAAGGAATGGAAAGTAACCCGGGCTTGGCTGAAAGTTGTGTCCATCATTCATTCCTCAATAGCTCAACTTACTCTTAAATAACACGTCATCTTTGAGTGCACATAAAACCAAGGTCCAGGCTGAGCAGGTGAAAACAAAATGGAAGCTTTTGTTTGTTCAGGAAACTACAAGAGCCTGCTGAGAAGACTCCTGTTGCACTCTATAGCTTATCTCGGGGAGAGAGAAAAGAGTGGCCTCTACCTTGGCTGCTGTCCTCCTCCGTGCTACTGAAATCATCCTCATAGTAAGTATTGGAGTCAGTAGAGGCACTGGCATCACTGCTCATGGAGCCCTTCCTCTGCCGCTGCAGGACACATGCCTAGGAAAATGACAATTACAAAACCAGAGCTATCCTACTTAATCTCATTCACCACATAAAAACTTTCTTCATATCTCACTATTTTTTCTAAATCTAAGAAGTATGCCTCTTAATGGCTCCCTTAAGGACTTTCATCACTTTATCCCACAAAAACACTACTAACCAGAGATGTGGACAAGAATTGAAAAACAGAGTGTTACTATAGTGTCCTCTATGCTTCTGCTTCAGTATGCCAATCATCACAAATCACCACGTAGCCACGTGTATCACAACATTGATAATCAACAACTAATTCAAATGTTTGGACAGATCCAACCAGTTAAGAATTCTCACTTCTGGCCGGGTGCAGTGGCTGATGCCTGTAATCCAGCACTTTGGGAGCCCAAGGCGAGTGGATCATGAGGTCAGGAGATCAAGACCATCCTGGCCAACATGGTAAAAACCCGTCTCTACTAAAAATACAAAAAATTAGCTGGGCGTGGTGGCATGCAGCTGCAGGACCCGCTACTCGGGAGGCTGAGGGAGGAGAATTGCTTGAACCCAGGACGCAGAAGCTGCAGTGAGCCGAGATTGCGCCACTGTACTCCAGCCTGGGTAACAGAGCAAGACTCTGTCTCAAAAAAAAAGAAAAAAGAATATCTTCAACACCATTACCACAACTTTGGGTCTATAAAGGTCATGGTGTATAGTCAGTCTTATTCATTTCAAGAAGGTTACACACAAACACACACACATAATGTATATATAATTGTGTGTATATGTACATATACACACAATTATAAGACATTCTTCCAAATTATCAGTGGCTTGACTCCCACTCACCTTTCTGTAGGAAGTTGAAAGTAACGTCAAGAGTAGGTTCATCAGTGGGACAGAGTCAATCAGCCGTTGAATCCTCTGTATGGAGGTGCTCTGAGCCATAATATTCAGGGCTGCAGGAGGTCCATCTGTCTCCCAACCCTGAAGGCAACAATATCAAAGGAAAATTAATGATACCACTCAGCCAGAAAAACAACCTGAGTTGACGGATCAAGCTAGCTTGGCCAGAAGTGGATCCAGTAATCAATATGCTGATTACCATGAGTATAACCTCCTCACCTTGTGAAGGGCCTCCACTTGTAGGTCTTGAAAGAGAGACGTTAGCAGTTTGATGGCATGGTTTGCCAATATTACTGAGAGTACCCCAAATCCCTGATGCCTACACAAAGAAAAAGGAAAACGCAAACCTTAAAATAATTAACAATAAATCACAACCTCTGAAACAGTAGATCTTGACATTTTGGGGTCTTAGACCCCTTTGAGACTCTGTGGACCTTTCTTCAGAAAATAAATTATATATACATACATTTGTATATAATTCCTGAAGTTCACAATCTCCTTGAACCCCATCCACAGATGGCCTAAGGATCTGCAAGGCTTCAGGTTAAGAACTCCTGGACTAGGCTAGGCATGGTGGCTCACATCTTAAATCTCAACACTTTTAGAGCCCAAGATGAGAGAATCACTTGAGCCCAGAAATTTGAGACCAGCCTGGGCAACCTAGGGAGGGAGACCCTGTCTTTACAGAAAAATTAAAAAGTTAGCTGGGTGTGGTGGCATGTACCTATAGCCCCAGCTACTTGGGAGGCTGAGGTGTGCCACTGCACTTCAACCTGGATGACAGAACAAGACCCTGTCTCAAAACAAAAAGACAAATAAATAAATAAGTAAAACCTCCTGGAATAGAAGAAACTCCCAAATCCAAAAATTTTTAGAATTTAAACAATCAATTCAAAGCTAACAGGTCATGCAAAGACGCTGACTTTTAAATGTACATCGAAGTGCTAAAGAATCATTATTTTGAAAAGAAAAAGGTTAAAATGGCCAATTTCTATAAAATATCTGGAAACAAATCTAAGAGAATAAAAAGAGAGGCCAGGAGCAGTGGCTCATGCCTATAATCCTAGCATTTTGAGAGACCAGGGTGGGAGAATCACTTGAGCCCAGAAGTTTAAGACCAACCTGGGCGACATGGCAAGACCCCACCCATCTCTACAAAATATTAAAAACTTGGCCAGGCATGGTGGCGCACACCTGTGGTGTCAGCTACCCAAGAGGCTGAGGCAGAAGGATCACTTGAGCCAGGAGGTAGAGGCTGCAGTGAACTGTGTTCATGTATTCATACTACTGCACTCCAGCCTGGACAATAAGAGTGAGTCCGTGTCTCAAAAAAAAAAAAAAAATAGAAAAGAAAATTACATTTGAGTGAAGTGTTTTCCTCCTGTTCAAAATGTCCACAAAACAAAGGGTTAATGTATCTAATTTGCAAGCTCATATAAATCAAAAAGAAAAAGGAACAAACACAGGTCAGATGCAGTGGCTCACACCTTTATCCCAGCATTTTGTGGGGCCAAGGCAGGAAGATTGCTTGAGGCCAAGAGTTCGGGACCAGCCTAGTCAACACAGAAAATTTTAAAAATTAGCTGGGCATGGTGGTGCAGACCTGTAGTCCTAGCTGCTTAGGAGGCTGAGGTGGGAGGATCACCAGAGCCCAGAAGTTCAAGGTTACCGTGAGCAATGATCATAACATTGCACTCTAGCCTAGGAGACAAAGTGAGAATCTATCTCTGTAAAAATAATAATTAAAAAATTAAAAAGAAAATGACAAATACCAAAGAGAAAACCACGGCAAAGGACATAAGGTAGTTCACACACACACACACAAAAAAAACACAAATGAAGGCCGGGCGCAGTGGTTCACGCCTATAATCCCAGCACTTTGGGAGGCAGAGGCGGGTGGATCACAAGGTCAAGAGATAGAGACCATCGGGTCAACATGGTGAAACCCCGTCTCTACTAAAAATACAAAAATTAGCTGGGCATGGTAGCGCATGCCTGTAGTCCCAGCTACTCGGGAGGCTATTGCAGATTGCTTGAACCCAGGAGGCAGAGGTTGAGGTGAGCCGAGATCGCGCCATTGCACTCCAGCCTGGGTAACAAGAGCAAAACTCCATCTCAAAAAAAGAAAAAAGAA